AAATCTCTACAAATATCACAAAAATATTACCACTGTGTGTATATATATATATATTTACCCCTGGTCAATGTTTTACCCCTACAATAAATAAGATTACATAATTGGTTTTCCAGCACAGCACTTTGTGTTCAAGCTATTATAGACTACAGGCAATCTTCTCGTCATTGTTTAAATGAGTCGAGTCATGAATATGATTGGTGAAAATGACAGGAGAAAATATTCAGAAAGTATGTCTCGTATCAGTAATAGAGCTGATTATGTAACTTCATAAACACAATTCCGATCTTACCCACATTTTATCAGGGATGCGGCGACTCGACTGCCCTTCCTCTGGGGAAGTACAGTGTGTATTTGAATAAAAAGCCTGCCCTCTAGTGGAGCACAAACTGTATTGAGTCTAATTCATTATTTGATTGGATTCCCATTGTCTTAAAAAAAATGTAAACTTGCAAGTTTCCCATAATACAAACTAAATGTATTCAGAAGCCTTTAAAAGAAAGAAAGAAAGAAACAAATAATAATTTAAAGGGATAGTCCACAAAAAAATATAGCAAAACCTGTTATCATTTGCTCACCCTCACGTCGTAGAAAAATTATCAATACTCAGTCCAGATCATAGTACTGTCTCTACTTATGATTCTGTTTTTAGGACCCAGACCTAAAACCTGAAACCACTACTTGTGCAATCAGTCAAACATAAAACAGCAGAGAGAAAAAAAATGAAGGGCTCATTTTTAAGACACCGGCTCCAGCACGAGGTGGTCTGAGCCCATATCTGAGGCCGTGTTGGGAATATGGACTCCAGTCTTTCTGATTAGGACAGTTTTCGTGAGTCGTGGGGTGCGGCGGGGGGCTGAGACGCCCCCAGTGGCACCGCAGGACAGAAGTGTGGGCGAAGGCAACTTGGTGTCACAGAGCTGGGCTAGACGTCATCCGTTCTCCTCTTCGCTGACGAACCACACAGGACACTCCAGGGCAGGGCATGTTACAAGTTTCAGTTTTAGAAATCAGTGTCCCAGCCGGAATTGTCATCTGGGGGAGGGTCCTCATTGTCCTCAGGAAAGCTATCAAAGTTACTGGTGTCAGTCGGGCTTGCAACCTAATAGGTGCGTGAACGGAGGAAATGGGATGTTAGACGGATAGATATTAAGCGCTAATGTAAATGCTGTAAACACAAACACAAAGAAATCATAATGTGTGCCTGCACATTTATTCGCTATTCAATGTCTAAAATACCAACCAATATAAATTACTATTTAATTCTTACATATTTCTTTCTAATCAATTCACTTTTATTTTATGGACCATTGTGGAAATAGTGTTGCACAATTAATCAAAATAAAACTGAAATTGCAATATGGCCTACTGCAATTATCAAATCGCAAAGGCTGTGATTTAATTTTTTTAAAAGAAGAAATTAAGAGACATAAATATTATTATTGTAATTTCACAGTTATACTGTACAAAATATATGATTTTTCTGAAATACTTTAAAGTATTTTATTTTAGAGTAAAATATAACAATAGTAATATTTATTATTTTGGTTATTATTATTATTGATCGTATGATTCTGTTGACAAAAATCACAGTTCTAGTTTTTATATCAAAATAATGGGGGGGGGACCCCACTATAATTTATCCAGCACTTAACTAACAATGTAATTATGTAAAATGTATTTGAAATGCAAATCTCTTCGTTTATCCTCCTTATATTAAAATTCACACTTATGAATTAAATTGGAAATGTTTTATACTTACATCAGGAATAATTGGAGGTGTGAGAGTTCCTTTGCGCAGGCCTTCCCAGTTAAAGCCGTCAAACCATCTATGATGGAAAAAGAGATTTAATATCTGTCTCAGACAAACAGAATAGAAATGCTGGGTAGGGTGGGATTTTCAGTTATGTTAAATTTCAGTCTTTGGATTTAATAGATTTAAACAATTATACTTTGAACAGGAATGTTACCAAAATGGCAAACAAATCTTGACCCCATGCACAGCATAATAAGACTAGTTTTATAGGAATTCCTTGACCTTAAAGTTTTATTATAACATTTCAGCACTTTTCTAGACTTAAAAACCACAGTTTTTCCCCAAATCCCCAAAGAACAGGGATATTACAGTACTCACTTGTGCTTTTGGATATCTTTGACTCCATTTTTCAAGTTTCCTAGCCTCTCAGACGGATTGTCCCTGAGGGAAACAATATATTTTAATACAGATTTAATTTATAGTGCTGATATTCTGTCAAAAATGCTTTTGCTATATCTACATCCAACTAAGTTTTTTTTTAACCTTAAGGTATAAATGTGTGCTACAGGTTAGAACATCGCAGTTAATTTAAAACTTGAAATTTACATGTATTAAATGTGTATTAATGTGTCATATTGTACTTCAAGACTTTTTAAATGTACCCACCTGCATAGTTTTTTAATTAGATTGCCTGCATTTTTGGTGATCTTCTTTGGAAATTCTATCATGTCGATTCCTCTTAAAATGATATTATATGTCTTCATTGGATCCGGTCCTGAGAATGGTGGGCTGAACCAGAAATGCACATTAGATTTGATAAAACTACACTTTTAAAAAAAAAGGTGCTTCAAAAGGTTCTTCAAGTGATACCATAGAAGAACCATTTTTGGTTCCGCCAAGAACCCTTCAGTCTAAGGTTCTTTAAAGAACCATCTCTTTCTTACCTTTTTATAATCTGAAGAACCTTCTTTCGTCACAAATAACCTTTTGTCAAACAGAAAGGTTCTTCAGATGTTAAAGGTTCTTTATGGAACCATTTAGACAAAAAGGTTCTTCTATGGCATCGTGAAGCACCTTTATTTTTAAGAGTGTAGGTGGAGTAATCCTAACAAACAATCTGATAACATTTGAGCTTATCTTGTCAAACCCAATGAAAAAAAACACGTTTTACCTTCCAGTCAAGAGTTCATACATAAGAATTCCCAATGACCAGTAGTCTGCTGAGATGTCATGGCCTTTATTCAGTATGATCTCTGGGGCTACATACTCCGGCGTTCCACAGAAAGTCCATGTTTTCTTCCCAAATCCAATCTTTTTAGCGAAGCCAAAGTCCACCTACAAGAGACAAAACTTCATATCAAAACTGCACCTTTGAGGCTTTTAGTCCATCATCTTTAGCTTTAAATATAATATTGCGTTCCAAATTCGGCAATAAAAAAGGACATTTTGGGTAAATGGACTAAAAATATTGATAACGCATGAAGCACTAAAGGGGCGTATGTGCTTTAGATAGGAAATCCCGCCCTTTGATACCAACTAACAACAAACTTCACCAGCCTCAGAATGTGTCATCTCATATTAAAAGGCACTTGAGATGTATACTCACAAGTTTGGCATATCCTCTGTGATCTAGAATGAGATTTTCTGGCTTTAAATCACGGTAAATTATTCCCTTGGAATGCAGGTAAGCGAAGGCTTCAACCACACAGGCTGTATAAAACCGTGTAGTAGAGTCTTCAAATGATCCTCTACGAATAAAGAAAGAAAAACACTTCTGTTTTACTGGGTTTCCATCATTTAGCGTGATTAGCATCAGCCATCATCACAAGAACAATTTGGCTATACCTGTCTCTAAGAATGGTCCAAAGCTCTCCTCCTAGACAGGCCTCCATCAACATGTACAGATATTTGCTGTCTTTGAAAGTCCTGTACAACCTGAAGGAACACAACCACACAATTTTGTCCCACAATATATGATTTCGCCTTGATATTTTTTAGGATATGACCTCCAATGATGCTCTCAGGAGGTTTTAGCACCTACCTTACAATGAAGTCTGAATGGGCCTCCTGCATGATCAGTTTCTCAGAGCGGATGTGTTCCTGTTGCCGCGTGTCCACGATGTGACGCTTCTTCAGAATCTTCATTGCAAACGTTTTGGTCTCTTCACTCTTGAGCTGCACCTGTGGACACCAAAGGCACGCAAAAAAATGAGCGCTGAAAAAGTGCTAATAAGCTAATTTTCTATGGAAACTAGCTGTAAAAACAAGTGCCAGTACTCCTTATTATAGCACTTGAGTCATGGTCTATTAATGTGTTAAGGGTCCTCAAAATAGATCAAGTGAGCAGGAATTCTTCACATTGCGTCTCTGTGAAGGCACTTGCATGTTCATTTGATTCTGTAGCTATCTAGCAAATGGATAGCACTACAGGCATATCACAGCCCTGGCGAAAGGACACTTGTTTTTACTATGTTGCTGCAGTGGAAATGCACATTAGATTTGATAAAACTACACTTTTAAAAAAAAAGGTGCTTCAAAAGGTTCTTCAAGAGATGCCATAGAAGAACCATTTTTGGTTCCGCCAAGAACCATTCAGTCAAAGGTTCTTTAAAGAACCATTTCTTTCTTGCGTTTTTATAATCTGAAGAACCTTCTTTCGTCACAAATAACCTTTTGTCAAACAGAAAGGTTCTTCAGATGTTAAAGGTTCTTTATGGAACCATTTAGACAAAAAGGTTCTTCTATGGCATCGTGAAGCACCTTTATTTTTAAGAGTGTAGGTGGAGTAATCCTAACAAACAATCTGATAACATTTGAGCTTATCTTGTCAAACCCAATGAAAAAAAACACGTTTTACCTTCCAGTCAAGAGTTCATACATAAGAATTCCCAATGACCAGTAGTCTGCTGAGATGTCATGGCCTTTATTCAGTATGATCTCTGGGGCTACATACTCCGGCGTTCCACAGAATGTCCATGTTTTCTTCCCAAATCCAATCTTTTTAGCGAAGCCAAAGTCCACCTACAAGAGACAAAACTTCATATCAAAACTGCACCTTTGAGGCTTTTAGTCCATCATCTTTAGCTTTAAATATAATATTGCGTTCCAAATTCGGCAATAAAAAAGGACATTTTGGGTAAATGGACTAAAAATATTGATAACGCATGAAGCACTAAAGGGGCGTATGTGCTTTAGATAGGAAATCCCGCCCTTTGATACCAACTAACAACAAACTTCACCAGCCTCAGAATGTGTCATCTCATATTAAAAGGCACTTGAGATGTATACTCACAAGTTTGGCATATCCTCTGTGATCTAGAATGAGATTTTCTGGCTTTAAATCACGGTAAATTATTCCCTTGGAATGCAGGTAAGCGAAGGCTTCAACCACACAGGCTGTATAAAACCGTGTAGTAGAGTCTTCAAATGATCCTCTACGAATAAAGAAAGAAAAACACTTCTGTTTTACTGGGTTTCCATCATTTAGCGTGATTAGCATCAGCCATCATCACAAGAACAATTTGGCTATACCTGTCTCTAAGAATGGTCCAAAGCTCTCCTCCTAGACAGGCCTCCATCAACATGTACAGATATTTGCTGTCTTTGAAAGTCCTGTACAACCTGAAGGAACACAACCACACAATTTTGTCCCACAATATATGATTTCGCCTTGATATTTTTTAGGATATGACCTCCAATGATGCTCTCAGGAGGTTTTAGCACCTACCTTACAATGAAGTCTGAATGGGCCTCCTGCATGATCAGTTTCTCAGAGCGGATGTGTTCCTGTTGCCGCGTGTCCACGATGTGACGCTTCTTCAGAATCTTCATTGCAAACGTTTTGGTCTCTTCACTCTTGAGCTGCACCTGTGGACACCAAAGGCACGCAAAAAAATGAGCGCTGAAAAAGTGCTAATAAGCTAATTTTCTATGGAAACTAGCTGTAAAAACAAGTGCCAGTACTCCTTATTATAGCACTTGAGTCATGGTCTATTAATGTGTTAAGGGTCCTCAAAATAGATCAAGTGAGCAGGAATTCTTCACATTGCGTCTCTGTGAAGGCACTTGCATGTTCATTTGATTCTGTAGCTATCTAGCAAATGGATAGCACTACAGGCATATCACAGCCCTGGCGAAAGGACACTTGTTTTTACTATGTTGCTGCAGTGCCAGAAATAGGCGAGTGGAAAGGGGAATCCTCTTCCCAGACAGCTGGGCTTTCCTTTACAACAGTCCGCAATGCGGATCTCTGCCCTCCTGTCTACGTCAAAGTTTCCATCATCTTTCTTCAACATAAATGGTCCTGCAGAAAATGTCATACAATAATGATTTACATTGGAACATCTATCTATCTATCTATCTATCTATCTATCTATCTATCTATCTATCTATCTATCTATCTATCTATCTATCTATCTATCTATCTATCTATCTACTTACTTAACCCTTTTAACTTTGTTGTGGAATTTACCCTGAATAGAGTTACAACATTCCCAGACCTGATCTATCCTTCAGCACAGTAGAACACATTAAAGCTGCTCATTTGTCCAGCACTGTCTAAAGTAGATTAGTAAAATGTAGGGGTGGAACGATACATGCATTAGTAGCGAACTGTCCCGGACATCTCGGTTCGGTGCATGAGGCCTTACAACAAATACAGGCAATTCACCCCCAATCCAGAAGGGGGCGCCCGCAGCAATGCAACACTGTTTGATAACCGGCCGCCAGCAGAAGAACAGCGAATGTCATGAGTTGTGCACTTGAAAACAAAGCCCACTATACAGTGACCATGTGCCGATTCTGAATGCGTCTCTCACAGACTGACAAAGGAGTATACTTTAAAGGCTTGTGCACTCAACTGTTTGCGAAATGGAGCTTTGTGCTTGTGTATCCTACCTCTCTCATTCGGCACAAATCCAAATATTCCATAATATTTCCATATTTGCGATGTAACGTATCTGAATGCTAAACTATTATTTATTATGTAAATTATAGGCTTTCTACTTCAGTCGCGTTCGGGTTCCAACGGTGACACAGAGGCGGGCGCGCTGATGTTTGGTTCACTATATTTTATTTTGATGAAGTACCAACTGTGCTGTCAAGTTAGCAATGCTGGAACTTATGTGTTTTGTGTGTGTGTGCGCCGGCGCGATCACTTCAACTGTTTCCTTATACCAGCAGAATCAACTTTAAACACTTATTAATAATGCATCACTGTATAAAGGTCTGCTTTTATTTGTGTACACTCACAATGAAAACAAAACATTGTGCTTTTGTAAAATAAAGAAAACAAATAGGATGTCGCTTTCTGCCATTTGAGTTTCCTTTGTGAACAAATGTGTCTGTTCAAAATAAATGAAAAGAAACCGAGCATAGTAGATTTGCTTTTTTTTCCTGTTGTACCGAAATCGTATCGAACCGTGACCCCCGAACGGAGGTACGTACTGAACCATGACATCTGTGTACCGTTCCACCCCTAGTAAAATGTATTCTTATCATTGGTTGACAGAAGTTTTTGTTTTGAGTTTGCATAACACGCAATAACCCATAAAGCAATGACTCCATATGCATTCACTGTACTTTTACTGCAAGGGTGTCCAATCCTGCTCCTGGAGGGCTCATGTCCTGCGGAGTTTAGCTCCAACACACTTGCCTGTAAGTTTTTAGTGAGTCTGAAGACCTTGATTAGCTGGTTCAGGTGTGTTTAATCAGGGTTGGTGCTAAACTCTGCAGGACAGTGGCCCTCCAGGAACACGTTTGGACAACCCTGTCCTACTGCAATCACCTTTTCGTGCTTAATTATATAAGTTGATGAATTTACTTATTCATTTACATGAAGACATAAAATGCATGCATATAGAAGTGGCCTATCCTACCAGCTCAACTCTTCCAAATCCTCCAACTCCCAAGGTGTCGATGATGTTGAAGTCCACCAGCTTCAAGTTGGAGAAGAAGGCATTCTCTGCCTCGTATCTGCATTTTTTGAAGTGGAAAAAGGGAAACTTCTTAGAGGTTTGGATAGTGTATGTAATAGGGAATGTTGGAGCAGGAATTGGGGCAGGAAGGCTGTTTATTCGCTCCCGCTCTTTTCTCTCCTTTACCGGGATAAGAAGTAGTTCACGCATTCTGACCTCCTTGTGGCTTGACCAAATCAAATACTGTGAAAGAGTTAAATGTACAATTTTCAAAACGGCTAGCAATATTGCCAAGACAATCTTGCAATATCTGGCTTGCAATATGCAATGAAGTCCTCGCCTCAAGAGCACGTATGGCAGAATAATAACAACAGTCTTTGCTCAAAAGTGGAGTTAAGTCGCCATTTCCAGGTTACATTTCGAGATTTGGGATGCAGCGCTGATCGAGTGTGGCAAAGGACAGATCGATCCAGATTGGTGGAGTCTCTCCACATCAATATCAGTTTGTGAAAGCTTCTCTGGATACAAAGTTTGAATGCAGAAATACCCAAAGTTGTCACAGTCATCAGCAGAGATAGCACTAAAAGTCGAGCAAAAGTCCTCGCTGAAAAATCTCACAAAGCAAGAGATTCTGTCCTTGCAGCAGCAGGAGTGCACGCTGAGGGACAGTACGCTTGACTGGTGAGACTAGTGTTGTCCTTGTGACTAAGTCTCAGTACCTGTGTTTAAACTGAGCTTGACTGTGTTCCCTGTGTGAGCTGCAGTCTCTACTAGTACTGCCTTGCCTGATCCAGCTTTATTTTTAGCATGTGAACTTGGCTTACAGTTCTCCTAGTTAGAAAAGGTTTTCCTGCTCTACCCTCATGCCACCGTCTCTCTTTAAAGTTCAAATTTAACTTGAGAAGGACATTGGTGCTGCATAATTATGAGACCATTTACATACTTTAGTGTTGAGAGAATGAACCTTTCAGTTAACACATTTAATAACAAAATTAGCTCGTCCTGGAAATAAATATACTAAGGCCTTCTGACGGGAAGAACCTGGAATAAATGCATCTTTAGCTAGACAGAAACATAGAATTCCATGTTGATGCTGTCAGCTGTGGAGATCATATGAGATGTAGAAAGATTAGGAATCTTTATTAATTATACTTCGTTACTATGCTTAAGTATTGTTTTAATGAATTTGTACTTTGCTCTGGGAAAATGTATTTCTGTTATCACTTAAAATGATAAAAAACTGGCTACATATTTTACAGCATATATGCATTTTGATTTTAATTAGCTATAAAATTCATGCTTGGGTCACAGCTGTTGACCTAAAGAAATATTTTTTAAAGTTGTATTTATAACCACCAATTTGTCAGTCAAATGTTAGCATACTATACAATCTGACACTGATTAATTTCATTTATAATATAGGTTTTGGTATAACTAATGTGGCCCAGAGATTTACACAGAAAATACATTTGGATTTTATTAATATTTCCTTTTTTTAATAACTTTGCATACTTGAATAAAGACTGTTTTAATTTAATGTGAATCATAAACAATACTTAAATATGTAATACATAAAAACTGTTTTACTTAAAGTTTAGTTTCGCTCAAGGTCTGTTTATTTATTTAGGTAGATACTATGGACTTCAGATTGTATATGAGTTTGACATGGTACACATACTTTAATTTTAGGGATAGTTCAGCCCCCCCAAAAAGAAACAAAGATTGATTGATTGATTGATCCAAATAATTAAACCCCTGGGATGCCATGTTGTTTTGGTCTGCATTGATTTCAATATCTACTTTTCTTTTCAACAGAAGAAAGATACGGGACATACACATACACAGTAATACGGGTTTGGAACAACATATGGGTAAGTAAATGAATTTTCATTTTTGGATGAACTATCAATTTAAAACGTCCACAAATTTGAGTATTTCCACTTTGCCATTCACAAATTTAGATGGTAAAATGCTGAAAGTCTCGAGGTCAAAGCCTTGAGTACAAGCACAGAATCCCTCAAGTCACTTTAGAAGCTGGAAAACACCCTGGAAGACCACCACTGCAATTTGACACGGCAAGGACACAGTATCTGCAGTAAGTTTCCACATTTAACTAAGACTCCGGGCAGGGGGACAGCTGCCCTCTCAAACCTCTCCAGGCAATGAGAGAACTCAGAACACTGCAGTTGTCCGCATAAGAAGAACATGCCACATAGTGACATGGCTGTTTCTGCCAAGGTCGACAGTCATTTGGAAAGAAGAGAGTATTCCGGTACATTGCCCAATCTATATCAGCAAAAACATGTAAAACAACTGGTTTTAGTATTTTAGGAATAACCAGAACTAATTCTTGATTCCTAGCCCATCATAAGTGGCTTTCACACTGGAGGAACATTTTCATAGCTCCTATAGCTATTGGCAGAAGTACCCGCTTTTTGTCATGTTCTGGGAACGGGGAATGATTTTAGTTAAAGGAATGCCTTTTGGAGAGACTAAATTAGCTCCTACTTTAGAGTAGGGGCTAACCCAGCACAGCAGGAACTACCAGTGACATAAGGGGCTTTCGCACCAGGTAGTTATAGGAACCTGTCACCAGGGCAGTCCCCTGAGAACTACATGTTCCCCTGGGAAATGTTTTCCTGGTTGCATTCGTACCGCCAATATGAACTCTGAAGTTACAAAGTGGCCATCAGCAACATCATTTAACAACACAGCATTCAACAACTGGAGGACGGTATAGTGCCTGGACTGCAGTGTCAGTCCATCTACAGCTGTATTCCGCGTTCATGAAGTTAGTTCATGGAGTAAGTATATGTAAACTGTGTGTTTACACTTTTTATTTTTTTATTTTTTTTAAATGGCGAGTGTTGGTGTTTCATATGATATGCGTTCGGACAATTAATGTACATTTATGTCAATTATATTTCCTACTGTGCTTGGTCAGACCCTACTTTGAAGTAGGAGCTAATTTAGTCCCCCCAAAAGGTGTTCCAATAACTAAAATCATTCCCAGTTCCTGTGGTACGAACACGGCAAAAAGTGGGAACTTCTGTCAATAGTTATAGGAACTATAAAAATGTTCCTCTAATGTTCCTCAAATAACGTTGCGGTCAGCCAGCTTAAGTCACTTTAGAATTCATACTGGAGGTACGAATGCACCCAGAAAATGGCCCTGGGGAAAATTCAGTTCCCCTTCAGGAACTCGAGCTGCGTCAAAATGCTTTGGGAACGCCCCTGTGTGTCCACGCTCTCAATCACATGTGAAATCAGTCCAATGGAATGGCGAAACGTCACAGGCGGGGTGACGTAGAGACCAGAGAGCTTAAAAGTGCATCCGAAACAAGCAGCGTTAGCTTCTGTGTTTTCAGCAAGCGCTCTGTGTGAAACGTGTCAGTCTTATTTACTGTTGTTTGTATTGTCAGTGCACAATCACTTCTATATGGCGAGCTAAACAGACAGCACTTTAGATCGTGTGTTATTCTCTGCCCGTGCTAAACATTATGGGTGTGAATGCACGCGATCGTTGTGTTGTTGTTTGGGAGCGGAGCACGCACAGTCAGCTCTCGAGGGGGCTGATTGTGCATCGTGCTCCCACCGCAAACGCTCCGCTCCCGCCGGGCGCACTTTGAGGAGTGTGTATGTGTTTCAGCCTCTACGGTTACTGTCCCGCTGTTGCTGAGGCACAGCGGCGATTGGGATCGCGGGGATCGCATATGAATCTAGCGCTCTCTCTCTCGAGGTTTGGAAGCTCGCGCTGTGGTCTCTTCCCTCTTTGAGTGAGAGCTTTATGCTGCAGCTATCTTCCTCCGAGGAGGTTGATGTTATCAATGATGTATATGAGATTGACCGCAAACGCTCCGCTCCCGCCGGGCGCACTTTGGGGAGTGTGTATGTGTTTCAGCCTCTACGGTTACTGTCCCGCTGTTGCTGAGGCACAGCGGCGATTGGGATCGCGGGGATCGCATATGAATCTAGCGCTCTCTCTCTCGAGGTTTGGAAGCCCGCGCTGTGGTCTCTTCCCTCTTTGAGTGAGAGCTTTATGCTGCAGCTATCTTCCTCCGAGGAGGTTGATGTTATCAATGATGTATATGAGATTGAGGACTCGCCATCTCAATCTTTTGCATATGAAAAGCACTCTGCATTTTAGTTCGCTCGTTTCTCCCTGCCCTCGCAATAATTATTAATTGTAACCCCTCAAGTGTTTGAGCTCCATAAGTGGGCAGAGGGGAGTGGGCTGGATTTCACATAAGCTGTTGACAGGTGATATGTTAGGTGTGAGCTCTGAGAAGAGCAACTGATGACTGACGTCACATGGTCGACTAGAGTGATTTTCCACTGCCCTAGCTGAGAGCATGAGTTACAGTGTGTTATGAAAGCCCATATGTACTTCATGGGACAGTAAACAAGTCCAAGATACTGGCTGAGAGGCTCTGATAAGACAATCTGAAAAGGCCAGAACCGGTTTACAGTACTTGGGTCTCAAAACCTCTGGTGGAAGAAAACATTTGATGTAGACTGCATTCCAAACCTAGTGAGCAGCCTTGCAGTCTACTGCTTAGGGCAGCATCCTAACTTAAATGGATTTGACTGAGTTGGTACACAATACACTGGCAACCTTGGGTGTCAAGCAAATGATTTCAATTGAGTTTGGGATTTGCAGGTTTCTAAGCTAATGACAGTACTGTAATAAGCCAATAAATAAATATATAAATCAGTAATAAATTAATTAATTTGAAGTAAACTGCCATTTTAACTATATTAATTAATTGAACAAATTTGCATTTATTAATGATTATATTGTTTTAAATATTTAATGATTAATTAAATAATCTTAGTGATACTTTTCAGTACTAAATATATTTATCAATCATGTCTCTTTAGAAGACTTGGATTAAACTGCTCAGTTCATATGGATACATGAAATTATTAATTACATTAATTGTTGGACAAAAAATTTAATAAAAATATTGTAATTTTAAATGTAACCAATTGTAATTGTATTTTTAAAAAGCCACTCATAACAATATTAGGCAAAACTGCCAATTTTTTATAATCTGAATTAATTAAATTCATTTATTATTTAAATGCTGTATTGTTTTCATTATTATTAATTACACGATTTATTAATTAAATATATATATATATATATATATAAAAACACATATATACTTTAGTACTATTAAAATATTTGATATATTGAGTACTATTTTAGTTGATATTCATCTCAAAATTACTCAAAATTATCATCTTAACAAATTAGCTCACTTCATGCACCACCTTTCATTGTGAGGAGTCTTTTTTCCACAGATGTCCTCACAATGCATCATGGGCAGAGCTGGGAAGATTACTTACAAACTGTAATCCGTTTCTGATTCCAAATTAAATGACACAAATTGTGGTTAGTAATGTAATCCATTACGTTATACATTTTAGGTAATATAATCAGACACATTTTTGATTACTTTTAGATTACTTTTGACCTAACTCGTTAATATCGAATTGATTTAAATACTATAATCTTGTACCATATTGATTTAAAAATACAAAGAGTAAGAAAATATATTCCATTTGTTGTAATTAACAACATAAAGTGCAATAAACATTACATTAAGTCAAGGTTTCCCAAACTGAGGTCCATAAATTAACTGCAGAGGGATTGTGACTTTAAGGAAAAGCTAATAATTAATTAAATCATAAAAATGTAACATTAAAATAAAACACTTGCTAAAAAAAGA